GTGCACTGGACTGAGAACAGACTTGGGGGAGAGGCCCGGGCCAGGCCCTTGTTTTTGGCCACTGGTCCTCACGGGCCGCGCAGGCCAGGGTAACTCCTGGCTACATGTGGACCTTTGTCTTGCATTTATATGGATGGAGGAGGGGGCGAGGAGACCCCAACTCAGCCCTGCTGCCCTGAGCCTCAGTTTACCCATTCTAGAGGGACTGGCAGAGGCTGGGTGATCGGACAGGGGCCCACCTGCTCCGGGGTAGCCTCAGCGGGAATGTGACCGTGCTCCAGGGAGAGCCATGGACCCCCGGAGGGCCGCCGGTGGTACAGGGGGCTGGCAGGCGTTGTTGGTCCTCAGCTCTGTCTGGTTAAGCAGTGTCTCTCACAGTCGGCTCTCTAGTCATCTGTACAGTGGGTCTGTGAATGGGATAGGATCTGGGCAGAGCGTTGGCTTGTGCTTGGCCCTGAGAAGGTGCTTGGTTCTTGGGTAAGCAGCTCCGTGTGGTGGAAATTTCTCCAGAACCCCTGAGGTGGACTGGAACCTCTACCCTTGGGGTTGGCAGCTGACTCCCACAGCCTCTCAGTGAAATGCTCGGGGGGGGGGGGTCCCTGGCACAGTTGGAACGCCTTTAGGCAACAGGCTGGTTCTGGTTAATCCTGTTGTCGATGGGTGGCGCTGTCGGCCAGGACCTGCTGGAGCCAGGTGGCTGGGCCTCCGGGGAGGTGGGGGTGGTCTTGTTTCCTCTTATCGCTGCTCTCCAGCACCCAGAGCTTAATCTCCCCACCAGCTTCCTCCGGACCCGGAGCTTAGGATAATCGCAGTCAAATGTCACTGCCATCTGTTGTGGGGGAACCTCGGAGACTCCCAGTGTCCCTGGAGCTGACCCTCTGAGGCCCGTCCCTCCCCAGAGCGCTGCCTGCTTAGACGCGTCCGTGATTTCCCACGGCCAGACCCCGGTTCTCCTGGCTCGTCTGTACTGGCCGATGACCAGGCTCTGCCGTTGGTTCCCTAGGACCCCCGTACTCCTGTTGGAACCCCCTAAGGCCATTCTAGCCTGTGTCTCTAACATAGTAATGGGGGTAGGAAAAATCACAAAACCCCCATTTGCTACAAGACCAACTCAGTCTGAACTTGGGGTCCCAGATGAGCTGGAGATAATGGGGGACCTTGTGGGATGGACTCGGTGCACTTTCACGTCTCAGTAACGGGGCTCAGCTTCCCGGAACGCAGGCGAGGGCTGTAGTGACCCTCAATATGTGTTTGGAGCCAGGGTGCTGGCTGGGGACCCTCCTTTGGTTCACTGTCCCAAGTCTCCGTAGAAACCTACAACGTGAGGGGGTGGGTGGTGAGTTTATTTTTCTTTTTAAGAAATAGAGAAGCTGGGTTCCCTCCCCAGCCTGGGAAAAAAAAAATGGCTTCATATAACCCAGACCCTGCCGAAGGCAGATATAATAATGAATTTATTATGAAGCCAGGTGGATCCCAGTCACGTGGCACCTTTCACCCCCTCCCAGGCTGCAGCAGGGTGACCCCAGTTGACGAGGGGGGCTGTGCAGGGCCAAGACTCAGGGGCGGGCACCTTCTTGTTCACACACATTTCTCTCTGTGGTAATGAAAAATTACCAAGAGAGGTGATTAGAACATCCCAGCCCAGATTGTACACCGGGCCGGAAAGGGGGTACCCCACAAGCCCAGGTCTCCGGTCGTGTAATTCCCCCCGGGGTGCTGCCAGAGACGGGACAGGTTAGTGCTTGAACTGGGCCCAGCAGAAAATTCATCTCCACCATTAGCGTGTAATTACAGAGCTTGGCGGGAGCAGGCCAGGTCTGGAGCCTGGAAGAACAGCCATGAAAGGAAGCCCCGTAATTAGGGGACCTGTGGGGGGCGGAGGAGGCTGATTAATAATAGCACCCGCACACCCTGAGGGAGGTGTGATTGAAGCACAGCCTCACCCTCTCAAGCCCCACTGCTGGAAGGCCAGCCTTTTTTGGGGGTCTGTCCTCAGAAGCCCAGGACAGTGGCCACCTGGAAAATTCCACCTGTACAAATCCACCCTTGTCACTTGGAATTTTTCTTTTATTTAAATAGCATCTTTGAGCTGCTTCGGACCATGTGAGAGATTCAGACACAAGGCAGAGGTGCGGAACTTGTTCTGTGCTACAGCACCCGGTTCTGAGCCGGTCTCCCTGCCTTCAGCAAACACGCCCACCCCCATTACCTCAGCCAGTCTCTCTCATCCGGGGTCTCCCTCTTCCGCACTGTCCGTCTGTCTGGTAAGGTTTCCCTTATACATGTAAGGTGGAAGACCCTCAACCAGACGGACTGACCCAGGGACTGGAAGGGTGGACTCGAGGGTTACTGGAGAGGACGACACAGGACAGGTCTGTTCATGGGGTCAGCTTCTGTGTCTGTGGGGGCCTGGTGTCCCTCAGCTCTGTGAGGCAGGGATATTGGTCTGGGCATCTGACATGACATGAGGCTGGGAGCCGTGGCGGGGTTACAGGGCGCCTGAAGCTGAATATCATCCCTCTGCCCTATACGCTGGGGTGTTCCTCCGAGGGGGCAGGGCCGTGGCTGAGAGGAACCCCTGAGGAACTGGGGGATGGGCCGAGGGGTCTCTCTTCCCAGCAGGAGAGCTTGTAACGAAGACCCCCCCTCCCAGCCTGTCCTTATCCATCATGGCCCGCTGGCCTGGTGTGCCTTCCCAGCTGGTAGGATGATGAATTTACATGAGATGGTAATGTACCGGGGCTCAGGCAGGGCCCAGAGCACGCGTTAATAAATACCTCCCTAATGAGGGCGGGAAGAGCAGGGCCACCTGGAGGCCCACCCACACCCGTCTGGCTGCCTGAGGAGGGAGGGTGGCACCTGGGGCTGCCAGGGGCACCGCTAGGCCTTGGGCTGGCCATCCATGGGTGCAGAGGTGTGGCCTGGCCCTCACCCAGTGGAGGTGACCCTGTATGAGCCAGGGTCCCTGGCGGCTGTGGCCCTCGGGGTCCCCACCGCCCCTCCCGCCGCCCTTTGGCACGCATGCTGAGGAGGGATCCTAATTTTAGACTGTCTAATGGAGCTGCTCATTTGAAGTTCTATTTTAAGTGCCCTGACTTCAGCAAAGCAGCTTCCCCGGCTGGTGGCGAAGCCTGAGGCTGCCGCAAGGACGAGGCAGGGGGGACCCCAGGGACGGGGGGAGCCCGGAGGAGGGGATGGACCCCAGGCCCTGTGAAGATGGGGAGCCAGCTTACGTGGGATCAATGCCACTGCGTCCCCCTGGCCTTATAGACACCCTGCTTACTGCAGAGAACTTGAGACCCCACCACCAGGCACCTAGGGAAAGCCGGCCTGGCCTAGGGTGGGTCCCTGACTGGGAGTCCCAGCAGTTCACCTGTGTAGGGCGCCAGCTGGCCAGCCTGCTCCTCAGACCTTGGGCTTGGTCACCGGGAGGCTTGGCTGGTTTGACAGCACATGGTGCAGGCAGCAGAGCCCTCCCCGTCGGTTCTGGGTGTGGGCCTGCCCGGTTTCCTGGGAAGTGGACACAGGCCGTGGTTCAGATAATCTCAGCAGTGCCAGGGCTGGGGTGGGTGTGTTAAACTGTTCTAATGAGTTGTTAGGTGCCATCGACTTGACGCTGACACACCAGCCCTGCTCTGTGGTCATTGGCTGACATGCTCCAGCCTGCCGTTCTAGTCGCTGTGTCTGTCCATCTCTTTGAGAGTCTTTCCTTGGCCTTCTGCCTTCCCCAGCATGTCTTTTCCAAGGACTGGTTCCTTGCCAGGCGTTGGTTGGCATCCAGGGGACTTTTTGAGATGCTGGGTTTGGGGGTTGATAACGGAATGTCCCCTGCCAACCTTGGTTCTCTCAGGTCTTCAAATGGAAGTTTGAGGTGAGACAGTCTCAGAAACTCTCTCCAACCTCATGACTTAACGATGCTTGCTTCTGGAGCCCGGGGTCGTGGAGAGCCTCAGGTGGTAGCTGGCCAGGGCTGAGGTCACTGAGGCCTGACTGGGCAGGAGGCTCCCTTTCCAAGATGGCCTCTTCCTCTCGGCTGTGGGCTCGAGGACGTTGTCCCATGAGACACGAGGATCTGTGCAGGCAGCTGGCCGCCCTCATCAGTGGCACCTGGGAGGGGTCTGAAGGGGTGCTTTGCGGCACCGCAGCCTGACTGGTGCTCAGGACCCTCCCTGTTGCCCACCCAGACCACACACTGCCCAGAGGGAACTTCGGCCAGAGTCGTCTGGGCAGGGCATCACTGCTGACCCTTGAACTCCCTGCTCCCTCCAGGAGATCTAGGGCCTACCTGCCCCATCGCTGGCCTTGGTTTACATCCCTTGGGTGTCCCCAGCCTGGAGGAAGGGAATGTTAGTGGAAAACTTATGGTGAGCTCACCAGCCCTGAGCCCCCACTGACCAGCCAGCCAGCAGCAGCTTAGATCCACCAAGGGGGGGAACTGACCACCTGGCTGTGGGCAGCGGGAGCTGACGTCATCGCTGACCTGCTGTGACCACAGGCGGGGCGCCCTTAGCAGTGACCTCACCCTGTGCAAGGGCAGTTTCTTGGGGGTTAGCCTCCTGCCTGGCCCAGTGACCTGTCCCTGCAGTGTCGGGGGTGCTGCGGTCCCCATCTCCTCTCCTCCACTGTCCGTCAAGGCGGGTTCTCTGGGTCCAAATGCTGATGTGGTGGGGGGCGACACTGCGTGTGGACTCGACCATGTGGGTACCTCAGTCCACTCACCTGTATGATGGACCCCACCCCCAAAGCCCTGTGGCGGGTGGGGCTTCATTTCTTGTGTTTGGTGAGGTTTTTCTTGGTCTTTGAGAATGGCAGCTGGCTGCCCATGCCATGCTCTCCAGCCACGGTGGCATCAAGGATCGCCTAGGAGACTGTGGGCTGGCCTGGCAGGGTCAGGGGCCTTGTCCCTCTGCTGCCCCTTGGCCCCTCATGTCCCTCCCGCCCCGCTCGGTGCTGGCCCTCTGCTCCATGGGTGACCTGGTTCTTCTTTTCCTGTTTCAGGGATGAGCCATGAGCCCAAGTCCCCTTCACTAGGAATGCTTTCCACGGCGACCAGGACCACGGCCACCGTCAGCCCCCTCACCCCCTCGCCTCTCAATGGCGGGCTGGTGCCCGGTGGCAGCCCCGCGCCCAGCAGCGCCCTGTCCGCTCAGGCCGCGCCGTCTTCCAGCTTCGCCGCCGCGCTGCGCAAGCTCGCCAAGCAGGCGGAGGAGCCCAGAGGTAAGAGGGCGCCGGCCGGCAGGCGGTCAGCCAGCATGCAGGGCCGGGTGCGCACCAGGCACACGCTCGTGTGCGCTCGAGCGCCTGCATCCACACGCACATGTATACACGCCTACCTGTTACCACATGCACGCAACCATGTACACACACGTGTACACGCCTACCTGTAACCCCTCCCACGCACCCATCCACACACATGTACACGCACCCGCCAACCTTCTGCCAGGGCCCCAGCAGCCTGGGCCCTCTTTGCTTCTGCAGTCCTGTCCACCTGACCTTCCTTGACCAATCACCACAGCCTGTTTTTGAGCGGGACACTGATCACTCTTCCCCGACATTACCACCTCCCCCTCAGATGGCCGTGGCCGGGAGCACAGTGGGGGGACACTTGCGTGGCTCAGAGATTGTGAGGGGTGAGACCAGTGTACCCGGCGTCCTCAGCCCTGGCTGCTGTGTGACATGAGCCTGTGTCCAGGTCCCTCTCAGTCCTCTTGGCCTTATCAGCAGCTGGGGTTGGTCCTGGACAAATGGGGGACAGCTTCGTTGGAACCCCAGCCCGGCCAGAGTCAAGGGGCGTATGGTGTTGTCCCCGGGCCCTGAGCTGGCTCTAAGGGGGCCATATCTGGGATAGTGTCTGTTGTGTTGTCAGGGCACTGGCTGAGCAGGGTGGTTTGACTGGATGGGTGGACAGGGTGGTCTAGTCCAGGTGCCTCCTGCTGCGGGGAACTCTGATGGGACTGGGTGCCTTGGCCTCTCCCAAGACAGGAATTCTCCTCCACTGCCTGCCCCCCTGGCACCCATTGCTCTGTCCATTGGGCAGAGGCCACTCTGCCAGTCAGTGGTGCCAGCTGCTTAGGCCCTCCCCACTACCTGCCACCTCCGCTCAGATGAGAAAGGGAGCCCCTGGCCCAGCGTCAGCAGCCTGGGAGGAGACCCCAACTGGAGGTGGAGCGGAGACAGGACTCAGCGCACGTGCAAGGCTGTGGGGAGGATCCCACGAGGACAGCGTCCACCAGGGCTGGAGACAGCCGTTAGCACTGGGAGGACAGTGGCCCCAGGCAGGTCCAGTGAGCCTCCGGGGAGACAACCCCCAGAAGGGTGACACGGGCCAGGTGACCACCTCACATGAGCAGAAACAAGCCCAGCTCCCTGGGGGTGTCATAAGCTGCCTTGTGAGACCTGTTACCCCACCCCCACCTCAGGGAAGAGACCCCCCCTCCTTAGTGTCCAAGGACAAGCTTCCTTGGTTGTGGTGAGCTGGTGGTCTATCCCTCTGGAAGGGTCCCCTTCCAGCCACGGCTGCTGCATCTTCAGTCACTGTCTTTCACAACCCTGGGTGCTTGCTGGCCGTCGGCCATTCCTGAAGGGTACAGTGACGGAGGCACCTCGCTCTGTAAGCCGAGCCGCTGAGCGTGTCCGTCTGGTTGTTCAGGGACAGTTTGGAGACAGTTTAGAAGATTCAGAGATGCTCTGGGATACTAGTCCCTGGGCTTCATCCAGGGCCTCCAAGACGTCTGGATTCCAAGAGGATTCAGCATCTTCCTTTGGTTGGGAATCTTCAGTCAAGGTGTTCCGTAGTGGAAGCTGGTCGTAACGGAGGTCATCTATGGAGACGTTTAACCACACGTTCCATATCCTCCTCCACCTCCTGCCTCTGCCGTAGGCGCTTCGAGAGCGGTGTTGTGTATGTGTCCACATACCCACTGCTTTTGAGTTAATATGGACTCATGGTGACCCCCCCATCAGGCTCCAGAGCTCTAAATCTTTATGGGGAAAATTCCCCATCTTTCTGTGAGTGGCTGGTGGATTCAGACTACGGGCTACCAGAGCTCTGCTGGGTCAGGAGTTAGCCAGTCCAAACCCAACAGCTGCTCCTTAGAAGGGCAGTCTCCTCCGGGTGACCCACTGCAGGTTCCACGCAGAGCTGCTCTGACTCGACACAAGTGAGTTGAGTTTGGCCGGAGCACCGTGGATACATTTGTTCAGTGTCTTTTGCAAGCTCGTCAGACCCCAGACACTGCAGCGAACCATAAAGTGGAACAGAGGTGATAAAAGTTACGAAGCCAGAAACCATGACCCTGACCTTCTAAACTAAGGGGCCAAGTGTTGTGCATAAGCAGCTTCCACAACTTTTCTTTCCCCCGTCGTTGTATGTCTCACAGCAGCATTTTTGTTACTGCACCTTCTCTGAGCTGTGCAGCTCACTGGCAGCATTTAGAGTGATTGCGTGATTCTGCCTTTACCCCCTCCCCGCTATCACACAGACCCCCCTCGCTCCCTCTCCCGGTAACCGCTCGTAAACGTTGGTCTCTTCATTTGTCGTTTCATACAAGCGAGGTCATGTGTCCTAGTCCTTTTGTGACTGACTTTTCCCCTCAGCATTGTGTCTTCCAGATCCATCCGTCAACACGTGTTGGACATCATTTCTCTTCCTGGCTGTGTGGCATCCCCCTCTATGTCGTGGCGCCTTCTGTTTGTCCCCACCTCTGCTGACGGGCAGGGAGGCTATTTCTGGGTGTGACCGCTGTGTGGTGTACTGCGGTCAATGTGCATGTCCAGTCCGTGCTCTGCCTCTGTACGAGGAGTGGACTTGCTGGCCGCTCCATACGGTGGTCCAGCCATGCTCGTTTCCAGAGTGGCTGCCACACGTTGCATTCCTGCCAGCAGCGAGTGAGGTTCCACATGCCCTCAATCTTCACTGACATGTGTTCTTTTCCATTTTTTTTTTAGTTGTCAGCCATCCTTGCAGGAGGGGAGGGACGTGGTCCCTATGGTTTTTATTGGCGTCTCTAATGGCTAATGATGTCAAGTGTCCTGTGTTTGGTGGCCATTTGACCCGTCCTTGGTGAATAGCCCTTTGCCCATTTTGTGATGAGATTGTCCTTTTTTTAAAATGTTGAGATTTTTCCATGTATTTTGGTACTGAGCAGCATCTCAGGCTATACACTTGAACTGCCATAGTTCCATCTGAAGTTTTACATGTTTTGCTGATCAGATTTTAATTGGTTATATGGTATCCTCGTGGTCAGGGAGCTCTGGTGGCTTAGTAAGAAATTGTGCTGCCAACACAAAGGTGAACAGTTCAAATCCACTAGTTCTCCAAGGGAGAAGGGTGGACAGTCTCCTCCCATTGTGACTTGCTGCTTCTGAAAACATGGAAGGTCAGCTAGGAGTTGGTTCCAATTCCACGGCACGCAGCCTATGGTTTATGACTATAACCTCCCAGTTATCAGATCCCCTCTTAAGGGTCCTCTTTTTTATGACACCCTGTCTATGGCTATCATATGGAATAATCCATTGTTGATAGATCTGACAACATTGCCCTGGTGTATGCTGTGAAGAATGCATAAATTTCAAAGCAGGAGAGGGCCCATCTTTCTCCTATCTTCCTCAGTGGTGGACTGGTACCCAGTGGCAGCCCCACACCCAGCAGCGCCCTGTCTGCTCAGGCTGCCCTGTTTTCCAGCTTTTTGCCGCCACGCTGCCCAAGCTCACCAAGCAGGTGGAGCAGCCCAGAGTTAAGAGGGTGCCGGGCCAGGCACTCAGTCGTGTGCAATCAAACACCTGTGTCCACACACGTGTATACACACCTAACTACATCCACACGTGCAAGTACGAACTTACTTACATCCACGCATGCGTCCATGACACATGCGTACCTCTCTAGCCAAATGCACACACCCCTGCCTACATCTACACATGTGCTCATGTATGCACGTGTATACACACCTACCTGCACACCCACACCCGCCAACCTTCTGCAGTCCTGTCCACCTGACCTTCCTTGACCAATCACCACAGCCTGTTTTTGAGCGGGACACTGATCACTCTTCCCCGACATTACCACCTCCCCCTCAGATGGCCGTGGCCGGGAGCACAGTGTGGGGACACTTGCGTGGCTCAGAGATTGTGAGGGGTGAGACCAGTGTACCCGGCGTCCTCAGCCCTGGCTGCTGTGTGACATGAGCCTATGTCCAGGTCCCTCTCAGTCCTCTTGGCCTTGTCAGCAGCTGGGGTTGGTCCTGGACAGATGGCGGAAGTGTATTTGGAGCTGCTGGAACATTGAAGCCTTTGGAGCGAGTGCAAGCATCCTAGTTCCCTGGTCTCTGCCAGGAACCCCAGCACAGAGTCGGGGTGTATGGTGTCTCCGAGAGGACGCTGGCAGCCTGGAGTGTGGCATCTCTGGGATTGTGTCAGTGTTGAGTCAGGGCTCTGGCTTAGCCAGGGGCGTTTGACCCCATGGGTGGACAGGGTGTTTTAGTTGGCAGTGCAGCTCCTAACCATATGGCCAGCAGAGCATCGAGTTGATGTTAAGAACTGTCCTTGTCTGCCTGTGGGGTTCCTGAGGCCCTCAGCCAGCTGAGGGGCCCTATGATCTGCAGTTTCATCTTGTGCATGCAGCCTCCTTCCCTGGGGGTCCTGGGGTCCCGGCTGTTAATTGCGCCCCCGGGCCATGGCTCATCTGTGAGGGTGGACAGCGGGTGGGCTGTGCTCTGCCCCTGTCACCTCCAGCCTGGATTGCTCTCATTGACTCACTTCTTGCTGAATGCCGCCAGTTAATTACCGTGATCACAGCCTTCCCACGCCCCTCAGTGGGCAGGGCTGGACGGGCCCACTAATTGACAGTTCCTTGTCCAGGTATTGATCGCAGCAGTTCTGGCAGCACAGCTCTGCCTCGGGGCGGGGGGTGGGGGGGAATCCAGCTGCTAATTGCCAGTGTCCTCCTGTGACAAGATGGACCTGCAAGGGTTGCTGGCCAGCCCTCCTCCATGCAGACACAGGATGTCTGTCTATACAGGGAAGCTGGCAACAGGGCACGTGGTGAGAAGAGGAGCCCAGCTGCTCTGCCACCGGTTGGGCCTGGGACATGATGGGGCTCAAACCTCCCTCCCAGCCCCTGGGGCACCACCACCCACCCCACCCCCCTGTCCTCCTGTGGCAGACACAGGGCATTGGCTCCTGGTGACATCGGCTGATCTGGACGGTGGTGCGTGTTCGTGGTTTACCCCTCGTCCATTGAGAGGCTCTGCTGGGCATGTGCACCCCAGCCCTCTGAGTGCCACTGCCCTTGGAGCTGAGCCAGAGACACAAGCAGAGTGTGTGGGGCTGCTCGGGGGATTGTTCGGCTCAGGGTGAAGTGTGATCCTTAGTAAGCAGAGGGTTCTGCGTGGGGGAGTTACAGGCCTTGCTTTGGACCCTCTGCAGATCTGGCATTTTCTTTGACCTTTGCGCCCTCTTCCCAGAAGCATACTGTCCTGAGGGTTCTGGCGACAGTTCCCCCTTTCTTCTGGTGTTCTTTGCCCGCTTGGTAGACAACCCAGAGCTGTGGCCAGTCAAGTCTAGTCTGACTCATGGTGACCCTCACGTTGTGAGACTGTAGATCTTTCTAGAAGACTGCCCATCTGTCCTCTCTGGAACAGCAGGCTGGTAGGTTTGAACCTTCAACCTTTTGGTTAGCTGCCCAGCACATGGACCCAGAACTGCTTTGGACTGATTTAGCGTGTAAATGTGTTGGGAAGCTACAGAACTCACACGGCATCCATGATGGGCTTGGGTTGGAACTGCGCCTGTACCGTCACCACCCCAGGAAAGGGGACTTGGAAGTGTCTGACAGGCTGTGTGTTGACATCTAGAACGCACGGAGAACCCTGGTGAAGGGTAGGGGTACGGGAGGGTAGTCACCCCATAGCCAACCTCACAGAGCCTCTGCTCAGACTGGAGGCTCTGGGATTCATTCTCTTCTTCCCAGGGTGGGTAGAATGTTCTAGACTCCAGAGTCTGGTCTGCTCTGCCATGTGCTCACAGGTGCCTGGCTTCCTGGGGGCATTTCTGGTGTGTGTTTGTCCCTACGCTTGGTTTGGACCCTACATGGGGTTTTGTGCAGTGAGGGGAGCTGCCAGGTCAGTGCAGGGCGGGGGTGGTCAGGACTTTGTCCACAGTGGTACATGAGGTCCATCCTCACAGCCAGACCTCTCCTCTGCTGTGTCAGTGTACAGGGCGCACCACCCCAAGGGCCATGGGGTCAGTTCCAGCTGGTCAGCTTCCCTGGGCACAGGGTGGCCCAGACATGCCCCAGCTTGCCAGCCAGCTGAGATCTAGACCTCCCCCTGCCCCATGGGTTTCAAGTCTCCTGAGTGTGGGTGTCATGCCTTAGGGCCGGCGGGGCCAGGCTGGCTGGCCCAGTGCCTCCTGCAGGCCCGCCCTGCGTGACAGTGTCGAGAGAGGTGACATGTACCCCTCTGAAATGGAGGCTTCCTTCGTTGGAGGTCAAGCTGGCTGTGGGTGTCCACTGGGGTGGGCAAGACACTCACACAGCATTCTCTTACAGGGTCTTCACTGAGCAGCGAGTCATCCCCCGTGTCCTCTCCAGCCACCAACCACAGCTCCCCAGCCAGCACACCCAAGCGCGTACCCATGGGCCCCATCATCGTCCCTCCAGGAGGCCACAGTGTCCCCAGCACACCCCCAGTGGTGACCATCGCCCCCACTAAGACCGTCAATGGTGTCTGGAGGAGTGATAGTCGTCAGGTGAGGGCTGGGGATGTGGGGAGGGCGGGGGGACCCACCCCTGGCATCTGGCTGGAGGGGTCAAGGCAATCTTCACAGGAGGGGCAGCACAGTACACCAGTGGTCAGGGTGGCCTGTGTCTGGCCTGGTGCCGCGCTCTGCCCAGCCATCTTCTGGGGGCACCCATCTGTATCCAGGCTCCTTGTTCTCCTCTGTCCCATCTAGGGGTTCTCTCAGCTCTGAGGAATGAGCAGGTCTCGGCCTCTGGGGCTGTGGACATTCTGTGAGCATCTTCGGTACCCGGGAGAGGGAAACCGAGGTCCTCACCAGAATTCTCCGCCCTCTCCCCAGGCAGCATGTTGGGTGCTGTTCCTCCAGGGCTCTACTGAGGCCCTTGTGACAGCTGCCAGCAGCCCTGTCACCCCATCCATTTACTGTGTGGGCATTGCCTTGGCCGTCACCCTGTCATGGTGTGGGCACCACCCTAAGAGGAACTGGAGATGCTAGTGACACTTGGATGGCTGATAGAACACCCGAGGGGCTGCCGAGACCGACAGCTGACCACACAAAGCTCTAGACAGCCCCTTTCCTTCTAAAGACATAGAATGGGAGCAGTGGGTCCCAGGCAGATTCGAGCAGTGATCTGTTCAAGTTAATGGAGCAGCCTCTAAGCCCCAGGCCAGGCCTCCCTACCCCCCGCCCCCAACCCCGTGCAACTGAGCTCACAGCCAGGAATAGATGGTCACAGCAGGTGTTCGGCCTGCTGGGGGTGAGGGGACCCCAGCTGCCATGACTGGGGAGCTAGGGGTGGGGTCAGCCTGGGCCCTACTCATGCCCTTGGCCCTTCCTGGTTCTCAGAGTGCTGGAGTGGGCCCGCTCAGTCACCTTCACGCAGCTGTACCCTTGGCCGTGTGGAGCGAGGCTTCTGGCTGTACTGAGCCGAGCAGTGCGAGGGCAGGTGGGCCCCTTAGCTGTGCCTCACCCTACCTGGCTGGATGTGAGGGGCAGCTCTGCAGGCCGCACACCCCCACGGCTTTGCATCCGGGCATGCACACACATTCTTTCCCTCTCTTCAATATCCGTTCTCACTGTACATTTGACAAATGAGGAAACTGAGGCATGGGTCATGTGCCTGGCCCTGGCATTGAAGACTTTTACTAGGAGGCAGGAGGTGCAGGTTGTGGTCAGCTCTGACCAGGTGTCCACACAGGTGACCTCCGACCTATGGCCATTGCTATAGACAGCATGCAGTAATCCTTGGTCTTGAAGAACCCTGGGCCCTCATGGGCCCTCACGCCCCATCCTGCCTCAAGTAGCCTTCTGGTGTCCAGTCACCACAGCACTGTCCCATCTGTCAGCTGGTGTGTGGCCTCATCATAGGGTAGCAGAGTTGCAGAATGTGGAGGGGGCAGTGGGCAGGTGCCCTGGGGTGCCCATGTGCTGCCCAGGGACAATATGGGGGCCAGTGCACACAGGGAGGCTAGGGGATCTGAGGTTGGAGCAGCTGTCGCCTCTCAGGGCTGGGCAACCAGACCCCAGCAGTCCCCTTGCTGACTCTGGAGTGTCCGTGGTCACACTGAGGCTGGCACTGACCGTCGTTCTCCCATGTCCAGGATGCTGGCTCACGGGGTGGCAGTAGCCGAGAGCGCCTGGTGGTGGAGCCCCCACTGCCCCAGGAGAAAGCAGGTGGCCCGGCCATCCCCTCGCACCTGCTCAGTACCCCCTACCCCTTCGGGCTCTCCCCCAGCTCAGTCGTGCAGGACTCCCGCTTCCCACCGCTGAAGTAAGTCATCTGGCAGGGGTGCTGCGGGCCCTGGGCCTACTCCCCACACTGAGTCAGCCAGCCTAGTCACTGCAGGAGGGGCTCACTGTCCGTCTGTCCCTCACAGCCTGCAGCGGCCCGTGCACCACGTGGTGCCCCCCAGCACAGTGACCGAGGACTACCTGCGAAGCTTCCGGCCCTACCACACGGCCGAGGACCTACGCGTGTCCTCCCTGCCCCCACTTGGCCTGGACCCTGCCGCCTACTATCACCCTGGCTACCTGACCCCACACCCCTTCCCACACCCAGCCTTCAGGTGAGCCAGACCCTCCTTGCCTGGACACCCCCATCTAGACTCTGCAGGGCCTCTGCTCTGGGGAGCCGTGTACACTTGGGGCTGCCCCTGCGTTGGCCTATCTGCAGCCGGCAGCCTCTAGACCGCTGCTCTCTGGCCAGCATGGTGGTCAGACTCAGGGCCCCCCAGTGGAGAGGACACCTCTGCACCTGAAGTGGGTATGTCATGCTCACGGCCTGTGTGTCCCCACACCATACAGGATGGACGATTCCTACTGCCTGTCGGCCCTGAGGTCTCCCTTCTACCCCTTGCCCACGCCTGGCTCCCTGCCCCCACTGCACCCCTCAGCCATGCACCTGCACCTGTCAGGGGTCCGCTACCCACCTGAGCTCGCCCACTCGTCCCTGGCCGCACTGCACTCGGACCGGCTGTCCAGCCTCAGCGCCGAGAGGTGAGCTGGGTGGGCCAGGGGTTGGGGTAGTGACAGTGTCGACTCAGAGCCCTTTGCTGTTCCGAGGAGCTGGTGGCTGAGGGGACAGCCACATAGGGTACTGACCACTTCTTCCCCCAGGCTGCAGATGGACGAGGAGCTGCGTCGGGAGAGGGAACGGGAACGCGAGGCCGAGCGCGAGAAGGAGCGGGAGAAGGAACTGGAGCGGGAGCGCGAGCGGGAGCTGGAGCGGCAGCGCGCCCGCGAGAAGGAGCTGCTGGCCACCAAGGCCCTGGAACCTGCCTTCCTGCCCGCCGAGCTGCACACACTGCGCGGCCTGGCCGACGAGCGGGCCAAGGCCCCGGAGCAGCTGACTCCCACCCGCACAGGTGTGGGCACTGCATGGGCAGATGACCGGACTGTGGTCTCCGTGCAAGGCCGAGGTGGCATTAGGGCACAGCGACAGGCTTGGGTTTAAAGTTCCTCAGTCCTGACTTCAGTCCCAGAGTCTAGTGTGTGGTACGGCTGAGGTGGGTGTCCAGCAGGGGTCCTGGCGGAGATTTCCAAGGCCAGTGGAGGGTCACCCTGAGCCAGAATTGACCAAGAAGCAGCTTGGGTTCAAGGCCACACTGCCCCAGGTGCTTGTCTAGCAGCCAGCTCCCAGGGCCTCCGGTGGGTGTGGGCCCTGCTGCACCTGACCGCGTCTCTCTCCACAGAGAAGCTCAAGGAGGCAGGCCTGCAGGCCCCCAAGCCCGTGCCGCACCCCCTGCACCCAGCAGCAGCCGCACACCCCGGCGTGCCCAGCCTCATCTCGGGCCACGGCGTCTTCCAGGCGCTGCCCGGCAGCAGTGCGGCCGCAGCCTTGCTCATCCAGCGCACCAATGAGGAGGAGAAGTGGCTGGCGCGCCAGCGGAGGCTGCGGCAGGAGAAGGAGGACCGCCAGTCCCAGGTGTCGGAGTTCCGCCAGCAGGTGCTGGAGCAGCACTTGGACATTGGTCGCCCCCAGGTGCCAGCCGAGGCAGAGCACCGGCCTGATAGCGCCAGGTGAGCCCACGCCAAGGTGTCCAGCCGTGTGTCCTCCATGACAGAACTTCTGTGCTCTGGGTGACCACAAGAAAGCGAGAACCCCAAGGGAAACAAGTCCCCATGTTTCCAGCCAGACTCACATGCATGCTGGGCTCAGCTCAGACTATCCTCAGACGTAGGAGGGAACGCCTTTGTAGATGGCAGCAGAGTTTTCTTGTCTGTTGGTCTGGTGTTCGAAGTGTATCCATTTCATAGTCTGTCTCAGCACCTCAAACATACTTTTATGGTTTGGACCCACGATAGGTGTGTGGAAGGTCCTTTGTGCAGGCTGTCGTCTTTGTTACCTGGTGGGCAGGAAGCTAGGCTGCAGCCAGGTGCCCAACCCTATTGCTGGTGGCCACTGCAGTCACATAGCACAGGCTGGTCATGGCACTGGAGGGAGGGGGTCATCTCTGGTGTGAATAGGGATGACCTGGGCAGACAGCATAAGCTGTTCTGGGTGCGTCAGGATGAGTAGAGTTCCTTTAAAAGGGGATGGCCCATCCCGGCTGCCTATCACAGCACCGGAGAACTGGGTTCCTCCAGTGAGTGTCATGACCCCTGTGTCCCCCACTACCCTGGACAACAGAGGTCTGCTCCTACGGGACCCCAGAGAGATTTGCAAGGAGGTGGAGCACTGGCTACGGTCAGGGACACACGGCAAATGCGATGATGGTTCATGGCCGGTGCCCTGTGCAGGGATGGGCCATGATCCTCTGCTAACTCTGTCCACTGAGCCCAGCTGCCCCTCACCCCAGCCTCTGGTGGAGGAAGAAGCGGCAAGGCTGTTCGTTGCCCCACTTAGCCTCTGACAACACAACCCTCTCCTCTTCTAGGCCAGGAGCAAGCCGGCACGAGGTGGGCAGCCGAGACACCCCTCAGCACTTTGGTGGGCCTCCACCCCTCATCTCACCCAAGCCTCAGCACCATGCGGTGTCCCCCGCACTCTGGAACCCCGTGACCCTGATGGACAACACCCTGGAGCCCAGGCGGGCTCCCGAAAGCCACCCTCTGCACAGCCACCCCGGCCCATTTGAGCCCAGCCGCCAGGCTGCTGTGCCGCTGGTCAAGGTGGAGAGGGTCTACTGCCCAGAGAAGGCAGAAGAGGGGCCCCGGAAACGGGAGGCTGCCCCCATGGACAAGTTTCAGCCACCCACACGGGAGCCTGGGGGCCTAGAGCACCCACCCTTCTCCCATGGGCCCGGGGCATTCCTCCCTGAGCTTGAGAAGACCGCCCCCACACTCCTGGGACAACCGCGGGCCCCGCCCAGCCAGCCACCCCCAGCACAGCGAGGCCCCGACCCGGCCTACATCTACGATGAGTTCCTGCAGCAGCGCCGTCGACTGGTCAGCAAGCTGGACCTGGAGGAGCGCCGGCGACGGGAGGCCCAGGAGAAAGGTCTGTGCACTCCATCCCCAGCTGATCCTCTCAGGTCGGGTTAGGTGCCCCGTTGTCCAACTGCCTGACAATGGGACAGGCTGTACTTGTGGCCCTGGAAACCCAAATCAAAGCCAGTGTGAGGACACTCCTGCAGACAAGCCCAATCAAGGCTAATAAGACAACATTACTCACAGGACGGGGCTGTGGGGTGGGCCGCCTCGAAGCTGGGAGGCAGCAGGAGTGCTGTCTGGCAGGGGCCACCCCTTTCCCTCCTGGCTCCGCCAGAGCCCAGGGTTTGATGCGCCTGTGACCCCAGGTGGAGAGGGGAGGCCACTGACCCCCAGCAGGGCATGGCAAAGATGGGCCCCTTGCAGAAGAAGGGATGGGCTGTGCGTGTCCAGCCTGATCGGTGCTGATGGCCCCTGGAGGGGCTGACCAGTGCCTTTGAAGACATCCTGTAGGTATTCTCAGTGGCTGCTGCCGTGGCCTGAGTGTGCCCATCTCCCCAACAGGGTACTACTACGACCTGGACGACTCGTACGACGAGAGTGACGAGGAGGAGGTCAGGGCCCACCTGCGCTGTGTGGCCGAGCAGCCCCCCCTGAAGCTGGACACATCCTCCGAGGTCCGCGTCCCACGGCATGGGCGGGGCGGGGTGGGCCTGGCCCTGCGGCCACGCTGACTTGTACTCTCTCCCAATCTAGAAGCTAGAGTTTTTGCAACTTTTTGGCTTGACCACCCAACAGCAGAAGGAGGAGCTGCTGATGCAGAAGCGGCGGAAGCGGCGGCGGATGCTGCGTGAGCGGAGCCCGTCCCCCCCGGCGGTCCAGTGCAAGCGGCAGAGCCCTTCCCCGCGACTGGCGCTGTCCACCCGCTACAGCCCCGACGAGATGAACAGCAGCCCCAACTTCGAGGAGAAGAAGAAGTTTCTGACCATCTTCAACCTGACGCACATCAGCGCTGAGAAGCGGAAAGGTGAGGGCACTGGGTGGCACTCGACTCTGCATGGTTCTTGTCCGCTGTGCCCTCGTGGTCTGTGGAAGCAGTGCATCTGCTTCCTGTCCCCAACTGCCGCGCCCCCGTGGTCCACAGGGGCAGGATCTCTGCTGCTGGTCGTCAGTACCCAGACTTGAGCCTTCTCTGCATCTCCCCCACGCGCAACCCCTGCTCACAAAGCTGTGCGTTCTGCGGTGGCCAGCATGGCCCCAGTTGTTTGTTGCATTAATGAGACTGACCCAACGGGTCTCCCCAGGAGCCCACAGCCATAGTCCTCATCACCTGTTGTCTTCTCTCTGGGGTCCCCACTGGGGTCCCAGATGTTCGTGCCACTGTCAGGGACTGGAGTGGCAGATGTTCTCTGTGCCATGGACATGGTGGCAGTTTCCACGTTCTTGTTTGGAATGAAGTGGCTACTGATGGATGGCCTGTGGCCCCCAGGCAGAGCTGGCTCACTTGTGGTGGGTGGCTGGCCACAGATGGCCACGCTTTGTCCTCCCCCTCCTAGTTACATCCGGGGTGTGGTCTTTAAGCTGTAAACTGGCCCTTGCCTCTGTGGTCCACACGTCAGGATGGCTCCACTGTTCAGCACAGCTGACTTTGGGCAAAGGAGCACCAGGCCCTTTTTTGGAGGCACTTCAGGGTGGATTGTCAGCTATGATCTTACAGTTGGCATCACTTGGGGACCCCCTTAGTTGGTACTCCTGTCACTCATACAAATCTCTGTCTGGTCTCATCTGGCCTGATCCTTGGAGACACCCCACAAGCAGGTGGCAGGGTCTTTCTGAGGGCACAGTGGTGAGAAACTGTGCTTGTTGGTCAAGCAGTGCCAGTGAGGTAAGTGTACATGCACTTACGGTGCTGTCAGGACACCCCTCTTCTCCAATGAGGACGCATCCTCGGAACTTGCCAAGCAGCTCGCAGGAGTCTGTGGCCGCAGTTGCCACACAGCGCAAGTCTTTGTAGCATTGGACAGGGGAGGCTGAGAGGAGCCTGGGTCAGCCCATGAACATATGTTCTTTCCCTCTTGCTGTTCTTGGTCTCCTGTCTTTGCCCCACTGGACGTGGCTGGGTTGGAACCCAGAACAGGGCCCTGGCCCTGTTAATCCAGGCTGCTTTCCTCACAGACACTGAGCGGCTTATTGAGATGCTGCATGCCATGAAGCAGAAGACACTGTCGGGCACGAGGGCAGGTGCACTGCCACACACTCCGAGGGACAGTCCTGCTGCTGCCTCCCTGAGCGGTAAGGCGCAGGGCAGGACGTGGCCTCTCGGCCACAACCCCATCTGTAGTGCTGTGCTTTCTACAGTGTGATCACACCTGGGGTGAGCTGAGCGGCCGCAGCTTGACTTCACTCTCTCCTTCCCTGCAGCTTGGGCTCTCGCCTGCTGCCCGGCAGCCTCCATCAGTCCAGGCCACTGCTCTTCTTTCTCAGCTCTCCCTGTGTCTCGGCCTCTCACCCGCTGCCCAGCGGCCCCTATCAATCCAGGCCACACTCTTCTTACTCAGCTCTCCCTATCTCTCAGCTTCTCGCCTGGTGGCCTCCATCAGTCCAGGCCACTGCTCTTTCTCAGCTCGGCCTCTCGCCCGCTACCTCTACCAGTCCAGGCCACACTCTTCTCACCTCTGTGTCTTGGCCTCTCACCTGCTGCCCGGTGGCCTCCATCAGTCCAGACCACTGCTCTGACTCCAAACTCTCTCTGCTCCTGAGTCTCCAGCTTCTTGCCTAGCAGCTCCTGCCTGCCCGATCTTGATTCTTCTGTGCTTTCTCTCCACACCTTGGTCTCACGTCTTTTCAGCCCTCAGCGCCTGTGTCACTGGACCCCTCTTTGCACCTTGTGACTCTTCCTGCTATTAGGACTCTTAACTCTCACTCTGTGGTTACCTGAACTCCACCTGCTTCTTCCTGGTCTCTCTCAAGGGTGGATTTGCTCCTTTACACACATCTTCAGAGCACCAAGTGTTCACTGACCTGTAATGCCATATCCCAAACCTTACCTAGCTGGGAGTCTCTGCTAGGTTCCTGCTCTGACTGGGAGTGTCAATGTGACACATGTAACCCCCTTCCTTCCCTCTTTCTCAGAGCCAACCACACAGGCCTCCCTGAGCATGGACAAGCCTGTAGGCATTGCTGCGTCCCTGACAGACGTTCCAAAGGCCGTGGAGCCCGGCAGACTGGAAGCAGCCCGGTCCCAGGAGCCAGCTCCTGCCTGCAGCGACAAGGCCAGGCTGGGCGAGGCACCTGGTGTCAAGAAGGGACTGAGCCTGCTGCACTGCATCCGGGGCCCCACATCCAAGGACATCCCCGTGCCGCTCTCACACAGCGTCAACGGCAAGAGCAAGCCCTGGGAGCCCTTCCTGGCTGAGGAGTTCGCACACCAGTTCCATGAGTCAGTGCTGCAGTCCACGCAAAAGGCCCTGCAGAAGCACAAAGGTAACCAACCGGCTTCTAGGGCCCTCCCGCCCCATGCTGCTGGCCGTGGGCCCCAGCTCCAGGCGTCAGCTGGCCATGTCGTCTTAAGTAGAGCCCCTCATGCTAGTGAAATGACAGCTCAGGCCACCAACAGGCCTCTGTCCCTCGATAGGTCACTGCCCACCAGGCCCATGTGGCGAAAGTAGTGCCATCCGCCCCTGGAGCTCCCAATCGTCTCCTCTGAGATGTGGGTGGCCAGTTGACTAGAATTGTCAACAATTGAGTAACGTGTTAAAAATGGCAATTTTTCTATGAAGTCCTCTTACCAGAAGCTATGAAAGCGGCAGCAGGTGAGCATTTCCCAGGAGCCTTCTAATCGAGGGCTCCTGTGTAGTCTTCCCGATGTGCTTGGAAAGGTGAGGTGGGTGGCGAGGGTGACACCATGGCCCGTTGACACTCGGGCTTTCTAGGAGCTTTGCAAGTGTCTCCAGCCTTTTTCCAACATCCTTAAAGATGGAAGGGGCCTGTTCTGTGAGTGCTGCCGCCTCAGGTAGGGCTGAGCATGGGGGTGGTCTGCAGCCATTGAGCCCTATTCCCAAACAGCTGAACCTGGCTTCCTTCTCCCCAGGGCACACGGCTGTGCTCTCGGCAGAGCAGAACCACAAGGTGGACACGTCTGTCCACTACAACATTCCTGAGCTGCAGTCCTCCAGCCGGCTTCCCCGGCCCCAGCAAAATGGCCAGCAGGAGCCCCCGCCTGGGAGGAAGGGCCCCACCGCCCAGGAGATGGACCAGGAATCGGAGGATGAGAATGAGGAGGAGGAAGATGAAGAGGATGACGACGAAGCCCCCAGAAGGAAATGGCTAGGGATTGAGGCCATTTTTGAAGCTTACCAGGAACATATTGAAGGTAAAAAGCAGGGAGTACAAAGAAAGGAAACAGATCAGTTCCTACAGAATGTCACCTTAAGTGACAGTACCAGAATCCAGGTTTTCTGGGACAGCTAGGTACAGCAACCACTGGGCTTTAAGATGACGTGCTCAGATGTTCGTTCAAGGGCCCTCACGGGTGCCCAAGCTGCCTTAACAGGGGCTGTGTCCAGTGATGGAGGCCCCTTCAACCACTTCAAGTACTGACACCTTCAGTCAGTCTGAGAGCTCCCTGCTCATGTCCAAATTAGGGTGCACAGAGAGGGTGGGGACATGGCCACCACTTGTCCTTGGGTAAAATTGTCTTGAATGGCGTACTTCTGTACTTCCTGGGTGCGCAGTCAGGTGGAGGGCTGTCCCCGCAAAGAGAACCGTGTCCTGGTGGCCCTCCTCAGCAAGTCTCTGTCCTCATCACTGCAACTGCTTTAGGTCTGAAATTTCCGTATGAATTACATCCCCTGAAAAAGATTTTCAGGTAGGAGATACGGTGGAGAGCCAAGCAGTCCTTTTTGCTGGATGCACTTGTAGAAATTGGAAGCTCCACTGTAGGCTTCAGGAATGTGTTTCAGTATGACCTGGAAGGTGACAGAACTGTCACTCTCGGCTTTTCTTCTAAGTGATTGAGGTTTTGAAGTGGCTTTTGTTGGTTGGTAACCAGCTCTGAGCCGGCTCCACCTGAGCCGCAGGCACTGAGTTTGATCCACAGACGGGCTGCTAGCTCGAAGTAGACCCCACATTCCTGCCCGTCAGCCCCACTTCCCACCATGGGTGATCCATTTGGATGGGAAATAGGATCTTGTCATTCTAAACTACCAGTAGGGTGTTTAAGGTTTGCTTTACCCCTAATAGTATTCCCCTTGGGATTTTTTTTAATACTGTGAAGTCTCCCTCTGTTCTCCTGTTTTACCCTGGCAGCTTAACCTTTGCTTTTCATCTTGGCCATACTTTGACCCTGAATGACTTCACCTGAACCCCTTAAAATCACCATGTGATTTTTGCCGTTCCAAGGGCTGGGCACTGCAGTGCAGACAGGGGAGGGTGTGACCCTGGGGCAGCAACACTCACATCTTTGCAGAGCAAAACCTGGAGCGGCAGGTGCTGCAGACGCAGTGTCGGAGGCTGGAGGCGCAGCACTACAGCTTGAGTCTGACGGCGGAGCAGCTCTCCCACAGCATGGTGGTGAGTCAGGAGAGAAAAGTGCATCCCCCTCACCTTGGAAGCTTGGCCAGAATAAAGTACTGGGGACCTGGGAGGGAGCTGGGCAGGTCACTGTTGAGCAGCGGTAGCCACAGCATCTTGGGGCTGAGGCCACCAAGGGACATCCCTGCCATCCTCAGTGGAAGCCCAGGAGCCCCAAGCTTCTCTAAGTGACTCACCACGGTGCACTCCCAGGGGCAGGAGCCTAGTATGTGACTGCTCTGTCCTCCCTCTCTCCCCAGGAGTTACGAAGCCAGAAACAGAAGATTGTGTCGGAGCGGGAGCGCCTCCAGGCAGAACTGGACCACTTACGGAAGTGCCTTGCGTTGCCTGCGATGCACTGGCCTAGGGGTTACTTTAAGGGATATCCTAGGTGACGGTTTCCCTTGCGCTAGGCCGAACCTATAGTATAGAAATAATATCTATTTTATTACCTTGAATATTTAATATTTTTCACTGGGAGGTTTGAAGCTTAATGAGAATGTGCCATGCATGAAGCAAAGGATTGCAGACTCGGACAGAGCTCACCTGACTGCCCTGCATCTCCACCCTCGTCGCACAGCGGCACACAGCTCGCAGCCAGCAGAGGGGCCCTAGGTTTTTTTTTCCTTACAGGCAGTTTTCTTCTTTCTACCCCCACGTCACTTTGATCTGAAATGGAAGGCTCCACCACCAACACTAAACCTTGCTGCCCCCAGCCCCCGGTGTGGTTGGGCCACGCAGGGTGTTCATGTCCCAAGTTACTCAGCCCACAGGGGCGGGTTTGCAGTGACGAGGGCCTGGGGTGAGTTTTGAGACTTATCTCTGTTACTCTTGGGCAAAATCATCTTGCAAACGCAAGACCCTAGGAGCACCCCAATCGACAGTACACCCCAAAGGCTGTCTGCAGAAGCAAGCTCTGCCCTGAAGTCCAGGGGAGAGAGAACACGGGGAAGGTACCTTTTTGCTACTCCGAGGGGGTGACCAGAGCTCTGTACACAGCCACGCCCACCAGGTGGTTGCTGCCTGGGTGATGTTTTCATACAAACGTAAGAATTTTGAAAGAAAAGTCAAAAGGTGCTTCAGCCTTGTACTGTGTATATATATTAAAAAAAAGTTTTGTATGTTTTTATTACTTTAATTATTGTTATAAAAAGCCTGCCATTTTTAATATGTGGTTTTGGGGGATTGTTTGTTTTCCTGTTTGGGGGTTTTGTTTTTTTTTGTTTTTGTTTTTCTGGGCAAAAGGGAAAAAAGAAACCTTGCTTTTAGTGTTTGTACTGCTGCTGGTCAGGACATTGAAGTGTTTTTAAAACTGAAGAAAAGTAAACGAGCTTTACCACTGGCGGCTCTGCGATCACTTCGTTACTCGTTTGGTTTGCACCAGAGGATGTAGAAAGCCATGCACTCTTACCTCCTCCCCTCGTGCCCTTGTGGCACACAGCGTGGGGCTGGTCAGAGAACCTTCTGGAGCTGAGTGAGTTCTAAGCTGACAGAGAGCAGGTGCAAAGTAGAGACAACTGCAGCTTCCTTTAGATGCACAGCTTTTAAGGGCCTAAAATAGAATGAACAATTCCCGAGCTAGGCCTCTTCTCTCGAACTTACTGTGACAGACACAGGAAGGGGGTGAGCGATGTTGCCGCTCCAGGCCATGTGTCATCTGGAGGAGGCTGCTATGGGGAAGAGGAAGTCTGGGCTGCCAAAGGCAGGCCTCCGTGGTCTGGGTCAGGTGAAGGGCTGTCTGACCTTTGGGGGGCGAGGGGAGGGGCTACTCACTGCGCTCCATGTCAGAGCCCTTGGCCCAGACCTCTGCTGAACAGAACAGCTTGCTGGCAGATGGCATTGTGTCGCTTTATCTGTTCCCACACAGTTTGCTTTGTATGTCTGCCAAAAATCTTCCAGTTATTAGCAAACTCAAACAAAAAGTGCCGCCAGTATTATCAGCAGTCAGCAAGCGCCCTCCTTCCCACAGGCCTAACGAGAAGGGCGTCACGGCTGTGCTGAAGCCACCTCCCTGCAGAGGCACTGAGAGATGAGCATGTCCTACAGGTGGGGGGGACAGGTGTTTAGAGCTAGCGGTACTGCCAACAACCAGGGCAAAATACCCCGGGTTCTATTTAAAAGCCACGTGCTGTTTCTGGTCTGACGGTATGAGAGCTGTGTCCTAGCGCTTCCCTCCCGGTCATCCTGCATCATAGAGCAGGCAGAGGCTTTGACAACCAGCTCTGGTAATGGCCGAAAGCACAGCCCCATGCAAAGGAGGCAGGTGGATGGAGGGAATCAGCATTCCAGAAGGACCTCTGTCCCAGGCAGCCGTGCTCACTGAAGAAGTAACTGCTTCCCCGCCGCTGACCCCAGCTCCCTGTGGTCCCTCTGAGCCGCTCGGCCTCACCCTCCTCCCACTCCTGTGCCTGCTCTAGAAATACTGACAATCAGAAGAGAAACCTAACCCTAGCAGCCAGCATGCTCAAACCAAAAGGGCCAGACTGCAGCTCCTGGGGACCAGTGGGCACCACCACGCCACACACACGGCCCTTCAGTGACAACACTGGACTCTCCCCAAGTTTCACCGTGAGGACAAGACAGGTAGAGTCTCTGAGCCCAGCACTGTCGGTGGCTGGTTCACACGCACAGTTCTCCTGCTAGGTAGGCTCCAAGACTATCCACGCAGCCGGAGTCTACCTGCATGGAGACCCCAGTCCAGGTGCCTTCCTAGACTCCCAATAGTCAGGAGGTCATCTGTCCTCCATCTCCACATTTAATCAGACTACTGAAAAACAAAGCAACACTTTCTCCAAAACTTGGTGCTACACATCCTGGCAAGTTGGAAACAAGTCCTATTTCTTTGTTTCATGTAACTGGAGACAACTGAAATAGCATTATCTCAGATACGTGACCACGGTAGGCATTTCCACACTTTAGATTCTAGGAATAAGAACACTCTGGATTGGCTTTAGTGTTCTCGTTCACCTTCTGTACCCGTAAGGAGCCCACTAGCAAAGAACTATAGTCCCAATGAGGGGAACTGTCCCCACCCCTGAGCCCACCATGCTGCCCTCTCCGGCGGGTGTGGGGGGTTCACCCTGCAAGGGGAAGAGTCGGCCGCCTTTCCCTTGGCCCCAGGGGCTCACCCCAGATAGCCTCAAGGCACGGCCAGAACAGGTACTCTGAGGGTGAGCATTATTACCATTAGCCACTTAGCAGCAATCGGCACTCTTACTCCCTGCAGTAGCCTGTCCCCAAAGCTGACCCAGTGCTTAAGTTCAGCCACAACCCCTCTCTGCCTCGGCTTGCCGAGGACCAGACCGGTGTGCTTCCCCACTAGACCAGGAGACCGGACCTGGGAGGGAGCAGGACCGTGCCTCGGCCACACTGGGGCAGTTTAGATGCTGTGAAATTCACCTGTTCAAAGTGTACTTGTTTGAATTCATTGTATTGTAATATTTGTTGAATGTAGTAATTAGGTATTTATGAACATATTGCTGTAATTTCTGATAACATAAAAAAATAAAAATCTTCCTAAATCATGTTAAGAGGAAAATCTTGTATGTTCCTAATAAAATGAGGTTTGGGAGAGCTCTGAACAACTCCAGCTGCAGAGATGAAGGTAGTACAGCTGCTACCCAGCTTAGCCAGGGTGACGAGGGTTCCCACCAGGGAAGAGCCTCTGGTTAAAGGGTTGAGTCTAGAATACAGATCATGATGCCCCTCGTTTTATCACTTGTCTAGCTCTCGGGGCTCACACAGGAACCCAGAGCCACTTGTTACAGGCCACCCAGGCAGCAATCTGAACACCAATAGTACTGGAGCCTCTGGCAAAAGGCCTGCTCTTCGATAAGAGAGATGCATGCTCATTTCCTGCACAGAAAACTGGTTCCTTTGAAAACTGGTTCTACAGACAAAGTACCAGTGGTGACAGCAGCTTCTCATGGTGACTAGACAATCAGACCTCCCTCATGGTAGTAGCTTAATTTCTGAGAATCTTGGCAGTTTGAAAATGCTAAGATTTCAATCTTACTCTCTTAACTATTCTAACAGGAACAATTCCCTCTTAAGAAAGGGAAAAAGTACCCACAAAGGAACCACTGTGGCCAACAACTGAGTTTCCAGAATCCACAAGATTCTGGTAAGGCGCAACGTTCCTCACCAGCACTGTTCAGTGTGATTCTTTGATCACCATCCTCTTCAGACACTCGACACACGATCAGGGAGCCAGGAGAACCTGGGCCTGAGTTATTCCATGTTATCTAACTGAGCAGTCATTCCTTTCACCTGGCATCACCCAGAACAGAAACCCCACAAACTCAGGTTCAGGTTGATAAATTTTATTGTATGTCAGGACTAAGCTTTTCACACACCAGTCCACATCACTAGGCATCTCTGGGAGAAGCCTCAGAAGATCAAATTTCATCTAAGATTCAGGAAAAAAGGGAAGCTCTAAGCCATACTACCACACTGATATCTAAGTTTGGCACCACAGTTGCATAGACTCAGCCATGACCATTCTGTACTCAAAAACAGAGCTTTCCTTTACACCACTGTATGAAAAGCTGGATACATACAGAATTGGGAATATGCCAGGAAGCCAAGTTTGGAGGACAAAGCACAAAGCTGCCGTTTCTAACAAGTGCAAATCCACTGCTTGTGTCATTACACCCTCCTGACACACTCAGAAATCTCTGTGTGTCCAGAACTCCGAATATCTTACAATCACAGGCACTCACACGGCAGGCTACTGGCCACCAGCTCCCCAGCCTTTCCTGAGCAGGTCTGCTCTAGAACTCCTGGGACTGGGTGCTGTCCAGGGGCTGGAGGTGGGTGCGGAGCTTGTACATTCGGTCCAGGGCCTGGGTGAGGAAGGCCCCACTGGTGGTGATCTCCATCAAGGTCAGGTTGTCCAACTGGAAAAGAAAACACAAAGCCCCATTGGTCCAGGAAGATTTCAGAAGAGAGCTACTTACTGACAATAAGGATTTATCAAGAACATAAAAGGAAAATAAGCTCCCTCCTAGATAAAAGGGCCTGCGGTGTGGGGTCCCCTCATGCAGGCCCGGGGGTTACGGGGGGCCAGCACCACTCCCTACCTTGGCGTGTGCCTCCTGCTGCTTCACAAAGCTGTCGGCAGAGACCCGGAGCTTCGCTACCCGCGTGTCCCACATGTCCTTGATCAGGGTGCGGATCTCATCTGCCTTGGGAATGTTGTCTGAAGCACTACAGGAAACGAGATAAAAGAGACCCAATGCTCAGGAAACTAGAGTGGACAAAGCGACTGAGCAAACTCCATTTGAATCCAAAGGAGATGCTGGCTGTCCTGTTGAAAGGTAGGTACCTGAGTCACTGCAACGCTGTGAACAGAGCTGAACCCTGCGCATCCTCAACACTCTATATGCCCACTGTCACTGTGTCAGCCCACCTTGCTGAGGGTCTTCCTCTCTCCGACCCTCCGCCTTTCCCAGAATGTCATCGTTTTATAGGAATGGTCCCTCCTGGTAACCTGCCTGAGGTAGGTTAGACTGTCACCATCCTTGCCTCTTAGGAGCATCCTGGCAGCACTTCAAGACTTGTTTGTCCTTTTGGCAGTCCGTGGGACACACAGTACTCTTCTCAAACATCAATTCTTTTGTCATCCGTAGTCACTGTCCAACCTTCAGAGGCATAGGAAGTAACTGAAAAGACCATGGTTTGGGAATCAAGTGTACTTCAGGCTTTAAACGGACATATGTGCTCTTCAGAATTTGGGGGAGGTCCTTGACAGCACATTTGCCCAATGCAGCACATCTCTCAATTTCTTGACCACTGTTGCCCTGGGTGTTGGTTGTAGAACCAAGTAAAATTGTTGACCACTTCAATCTTTTCTCCATCAGTCATGTTAGCCTACTTGTCCAGTGACTGGGAAAATGTGTGTCTTTATTCTGAGTTTTCAAATGTAAGAATTCTGACACTTGAGTTTGGTGGCAAGGAAACGGATTCTCGTGTGCTGGTCGCTGGAGCCTGCCATTCAGGGACCCTGTCTCCCGACCATGTGTTAGAGAATAAGCTCTATGCTGGATGTCCAGTGGCTAGGGATAACCACACATCGCTGTGGAATACGCACCAGAAGCTTCATGTACTGGACTGGATTGTGCTTCACAGATCACTGCCCAGTCCCAGCACCAAGTCTCTCTCCTCAAAGGTGTCATAAGGACAAGAGTCTTCTATTTAACAGATAAATCTACCAATGAAGACCAGTTGGGCACAGTTCTGCGTTGGAGAGCACAGCTCACCTGAGTCAGCACGTATGAGAGGTAAGCAGGCTGCCTGATGTGAACTTGCTCCAAACCGACCTCTGAAGGATGAAACAGATTGGAATCCCTTAAACAATACAGAAGCCACTACGGCTTGCCACTGGGCATTCTCAGAGGAGGGAGATGTAATCTACTATGACATCTACACAGGGACTTCCATTTATAAATCCAAACATGTAGCCTCCAGGTCTTGCACAGTAGTTAAAAAAAGGGCTCCAGGTCTTTGTCAGCTGCTCTGAGAACAAAGGTGGGATCCAGACCTCAACCAGAGGAACAGAGAACAAGGTTTGTGCTGAATGCTACATAGGTATGTACTGAACATTACCATGGAGCAGACCAGCACCCACACCCTTGAAAAAGGGCAGCCACCCCCAACCCAGTCAGCTGCTCCAAAGCTGCCTCCCAGCTGTCCTCATTGCCTCCAAAAGACCCTGAGAAGCACCCCTAGAAAATGTGAGGGACAGTGGAGGGACCTGCCTCACATACCACTGCACCTACACATCTAGCACTTGACCTCTGTGAGGTCTCTGCCCCTCACATCTCCCTACAACAGTTTTACTCAGCCTGCTCCAAGCCAGTCTCCAACAGAGCCACCGAGATCCCCATGCTGGCACTACCAAGATGGACACTGATCAGCACTAGTATACAGCAGCCAACATGCCTGGGAGCCCAGCTCTGCCCATGACAGGGGCAGTGGCTTCAGAGAGATGGGCAAACTGAAGCTCAGAAAGCAGACAGGGTTGGCTAGAGGGGAATTAATGGAAATGAGAATCACAGAGAGGAAGTGGAAGAAATGCAGATACCACTAAAAAGTGTTTGAATGGAAATCCATTTTGTTCATAAACTTTCATTTAGGTCACAAGGGGAAAATATGCCTGAAAAATGAGCTTTTTTTTAAAAAAAAAACTTTTTTAAAAGACCAGGGACAGAAGAAAAGAACAGAGGACAGACATGTAGGAAAAGAAAAGTCACCAAAAAATCAGTCACTGGCAGAGAGCACTGGGACCCAGTGCCAAGTGACAAGAGAATGTGAGGAGCCAAGGAATTTACCAGGAGGCTGCAAGGGCGGCAGGACACAGGGAAAAGGAGAGGGAACAAAGACTCAGGACAGCGGGGGCTGGGAAGCAGCAGGATAACTGAACAGCTCTGGCTAAGGTAGAGGGGCACTTACTGATTTAACAGGAGTTTGGTGAGCTCCATGTAGTGCAGGCTGGGCATCGGGGTGAAGGTTTCCTCCTTCCGTTCATGATCTCTCATCTCCTCCAACTTCTCTGAAATTAACAAGGGACAGTTATCAGCAATGTTGCCAAAACATGGCATAAACTTTCCCAAGTTACTAAATACAGGTATCACTTAACACGCAGGAAATAAAACCTTTTTCTAAATAAAATGCTGGAATAATTAAATAGATGATCAAGGTTACTGCCCAGAAAATTTCTTCAGATAAGGGCAAGTGCTATTGTTGTTTTGGCCTGTGGCATAAACTAGTGGAAGGATTGTGTCAGAACCAGAAGTTCTCCTAGGAAATAGCAAAGTATGTATGTCACCTGTAATGCAAGAAGGGATTCAAGTGTCCAGATTTATACCACGCCTTATTCAGATGAAAGAGAGCAAGACCACTTAGAGCTTACATAGAACCCAGTCTGGGTTGGTGTAACAGAAATTTCTGGTTAAAAACAGTGTCTGGGATGGCACAGCCAAGCACAGTTCCATCCATCATAGTCACCATCGCTTATGGCCTCCTCTCTCCCTGCAGTGATGGCCAGGGTAAACCCAAGCCCTGGACTGCCAAGTGTGGAGTGTGGCCAGGTAAGTGCGCACATCCTTCCTAGAGGCCGGGTCTCAGTAAATCAATCACCAACCACAGGGTGCTGGCCTGCAGTCCTACCACTGCCCGTTCCACTCCGCCTCCCTCAATCCTTTCTCCTCTCCAGCACTTCCTCATCCCAGGGAATGCACTCTACTTCAAAAGAAGAGGAACAATCAGTGAGTAGTATTTGTAGCTCCTCTCACTCTGGGACCAGCCTCTGGAGTACCCTGGCCCCTCTCCTCACCTACAAAGGAGCAGGCTTCCTGGATAGCCATCCCCCCTACATTCCATCCATCATGTGGTAGGTAGGAGCCCCCATACCAGATGGAAAACCCTCTCTGGACACCATTCCCTCCCAGCTACAATTCATCCTCAAGCCCGTATAGCCAAGCCCTGTGTCAGTGATGGTCACTCACTCTCAATCATTCTCTCCTCAGATCATTATTTATCCCAACACTCAAAAGAGCTCTCTCAGGTCAATGACATCCACACCCCTCACCCAGCGTGCCGTCTCAGTATCCCCACTGGATAAGCTCTGACCCATACTTGGAGTATATACTCTCTGGCCTTGCAGGCTGCTCCTGCTCCCACTCTAATCCCCACTTTTCTGCCCTCTCCCCACAGTACAGAGCTCAGTGTCCAAATCCCCTGTGTAAGCCAGGTGACCTCACTGTCATCAGGTTTTTCACCTCCATCTATGTGCTCACGACACTGACTTCCAAATTTACATCCTCCACTTGGCCCTCTGCTTGAACAACTCCTGACTCAAGGGTCCTGCTGCCTACATTACTCCCACCAGGACAGCTAATCAGCACCTCAAGATAGCATGTTCAAACCCCAACTCTTAATTCCCATCCCAGCCCACCATCTGCTCCTGCAGTCTTCCCCATTTCAGCAAACAGCAATTCCATTTCTTTCTGCAACTTGAGCCAACAACCTTGGCAATCATTCTTAACACTTCTCATGCCTCCTGGCCATCCTCTGGCAATGCCAGCAGAGTCTTCCTTCAAAATACATCTAGACTTCAGCCGTGTCTGCCTTCTCTCAGCTGGTCCAAGACACACTCAGCTCCTGCCCAGATAATTCCCTAAGCCTCTCTCCCACACACACCTCCTGTACACAGTGATTTTTTTTCTTTTAAAATCTAACTCAGGTTGTAAAACACTCAAATCTTCAATGAATCAAAGACTACCACCACCACCAAGGGCCAGTCTGGTCATCGTGCTGTGGAACCTCTCGACCGTTTCTGGTGGAGCAGCATCGCAGTAACCCGCTTTGGACGATTGTGTTTTTGGTGGAGGACAACTCTGGCACATCTTCAGAGGACTGTGGGCAGCGTCTGACAAAGGTAAACTGAGTCTCACTCAGGACCAGGCAATTCCACCCTCTGCTTTTATTAACCATAAAAAGACACCCACTATAAAAGTTATTTAAAGCCAAAAAAAAAAAAAGACACCCACTAAAAGACAAACTAGAATATCCACAGCAGCCACATCCTCATTCTCCAAACCTGGAAACAATCTCCAGACCTCCTCACAGAAAAACAAGAAACAAACAGGTACATTAATATGGTGGGAACTGCTCAGCAACAAAACAAATGCAGATGACTCAAAAACACTTCATGGAAACCAAAGTCAGACAAGTAATACCCTTCTTGATGACTCCACTCGTTCAAAATCCAGAACAGGTTAATCTATGGGATTCAAAATCCCAAGAGCTCTTGGGGAGGGCACATTGACTAGAAAAAGGAGAGAAGTCTGGGGAAACAAAATGTTGTACATCGAATACATGAATCTTGTGAGACCTGAGACTCAGTGGGACTGCCTTGCTTATCCAGAGATGGAATGTTTTCCATCTTCAGCAACCTTGCCACTTTTCTTTTTTTTTTTTTAATTTTTTTTGCTTGCCACTTTTCTATCACTGTCTGAGGGGAGTTGAGTTCTTCTGACAGGTTTCTGCCTTAAACAGGCTCTAGATTTTACTATAGCTCTAGTGACCTAGTGGCAAGAAGCTGTGCTGCACTCTCAAAGGCATGCGGTTCGAGGCTACCAACTGCTCTGCAGGAGGATGGGCAATCTACTCCTGTGTCATTACTGCCTCTAAAAACCCGCAGGAGGGTCAGCTATTGAGGAGTTCTGACTCTATGTTACACAACTATACTTATACAAATATATTTTACCTATGCAAAAGCATTCGACTGTGTACATCACAACAAATTATGATTAAAAAAATAAATGGGAATCCAGAACACCTAGCCGTGCTCATATGAAACCTACACCTAGATCAAGAAGATAATGTCATTGCATGGTTTAAAATTAAGATGTGTCAGGGTTATACCCCTTTCTCCAAACCTATTCAATCTATGTGCTGGGCAAATCATTCAAGAAGCTGGACTTAATAATGAAGAAGTTGGCATCAGGACTGAAGGAAGACTCACTAACAACCTGTGTTTCACAGATAATACAACCTTGCTTGTTGAAAGTGAGGATGACTTGAAACACTTACTGCAGAAGATCAAAGAATACAGTCTTCAATATGGATTATAACTCAACATCAAGAAAATAAAAATCCTCACCATTGGGTCAATAAACTACATCATGATAGATGAAGATTAAAACTATCAATGATTTCATCTTACTTGGATCCATAATCAACATCCTAGGTACCAGCAGTCAAGAAATTAAAAATCGTGTTGCATCTGGAAAAATGCACTGTTACGGACATCTCCAAAGTGCTGAAGTACTCTTAATTTTAAACCACACAGTTTAAAGTTTAAAGACTAAGGTACCTGACCCAAGCCACGGTCTTGTCACTCACTCACTACGCATCTAAAGGTTGAACAATGACTAAGGATGTCAGAGAACTGATGCCTTTGAGTTGTGGTGTTGGAGAACGAGTAATGAATATCTATAGACTGCCAAAGGAAAAAATAAGTTTGTCCTGGAGGAAGTACAACCAAGGTGCTCCTCAGAAGCAAGGATGAAGCTTTATCTCACACACTGAGCATATTGTTAGAAGAGGCCAGTCCTGGAAAATGAACATGCTTGGAAAGGTAGAGAGTCAGTACTAGAAAAGGAAGACCATTAACAAGATGGATTGATACAGTGACTGACAATGGGCTCAAGTATCTCAGAGGTGATGGGAATGGCACAGATAGGGCAGGGTTCAGATCTGTTCTAAAGGTCACTATGAGTTGTCAATTTGATGGCATAGAAGAGCAAAAAACAATATAGTTTTACATAACTTTGATGCATAGACACAACCAACAAAACTCAAACTGAACACTTTGATATGTGTAATTTATGGTATGTAAATTATGCTTCCATTTTTTAAAATCCTGAAAATGTAAAAATAAAAGAGGAAAATCTAATGGCTTCCTGTTTCATGGTCATATATTTAAACTCCTTAAAAACAATCTACCATCCAAGTCGCACCCTGTCCCCTCCATCCCTGTTCCTTCAGGTCTTAGCTCAAATTTCACCTCCCAGGACAAGAGCAGCACTGGCCCTTCTCTGTCTCATTCAGCTTTACCTTCATTCCAAAGCACCCTTGTCCATATGACACACCTACTTGTCCTGTCTCCTTCCACCAGAAAGATACCACCAAAGGCCTTTGGTTCACTACGTGCATCCTCAACACCTGGCACTTATAAGCATGCAATTATATTTAAATCAAGTATTTACGGAAATTGAGGCAAAGGGGGGGGAAGAACACTAAATTATGTCTTTTCTCCCTTTAACTCTCTTACAGTCAGGTTTAGTTGACTCCTATTCATGGGTGGCAGAGGAAAACGAAAAACCACAGGGTTTTCAGTGGCTGATGTTTAAGAATTAGATCATCAGGTCTCCTGAGGTGCCTCTGGGTGAACTCAAATCAGCAACTTTTTGGTTAACCAAGTGCTTAACAGGAGAATGTAGCATATTACAACTTTGCTTTTAAGAACTTAGAGTTTAGGGCCCATCAACAAAAGAATGGATAGAGAAACTGTGGTATATCCACACAATGTAATACTACGCAGCATTGAAAAACAAGGAACTCATGCAATATTATTCAAAGTGGGTGACCCTGGAGGACATTATGCTGAGTGAA